TGAAGAATAAAGAGAGAGAGAAAGAGAGAGAGAGAGACATTATGACATGAATACCAAGTAAAACATATTTCGAAAAGTTATATACTTATTAAATGGAAGTGGGAGAGCGAGAAAGAAAGAAAGAAAGAAAGATCTCGAGAGACAATAAAGGAGTGATCAATACATTCAATGAGTGTAATTATTTGACGAAGGGATAATGAAATAACAGAGAAATATAACAAAGAGAAAATTATGGAAAACATGACACAACGAGACGAATACATTTGTTGGCATTGATGTTTATCTTAAACAAGTTCATTATGTAACACATGATATCACGGTTAGAATTTCTTATACAAATACAATGGTTGGAAAGGAGTATTTGCTTACTTGCGAAATAGTTATTTAATATATTAGGTTGGGGAATAAGTCGTGAGCGTTTAATTTTTGTTTTTGTTTTTTTTTAAGTAAAAAACCTTTGGGAAACCAAACATTCGGCGAATGTTTTAGAACAGTAATTTCCTATTTACATAAATGTATGATTTTTCTTAATTTCATTACTTTTTGGTTCTATTTCAGACCCATAAGTTTTTCTAAGTTTTTCTATTGCCATTTTTTTTTTGTTTTGTAAAGGGTAGTTGTTATTAATATATGTATATATTGTGATGTTTTGTGATGTTGAACGGCTTCGCTTTTCACTTTTGCTATGTCAATCGAAAGTTCGTTATCACTTCCAAAAATGCTCGTTATATTCGAGACTTCGTAGACGCCGGTACTAGTAGTAACGCCATCCAATAATATCCGCCCTAGTAATACTTGTTCAAGTAGTAATTGCCAAAAAGTATAATGATCAGAAGAGAATCGTAATCCGTATAGTAACAGAGTAGAGAGAGAACGTATAGCAATAGTGAATAGACAAGAAGAGTAAACAGTGATCCGTAGAGTAGTAAAGAGGAATAGTGATCATCACGCTACTTTGTATTTATTCACTTGCTTTATGATCACGTGATCTGATTAATAATGGAATCGCCCGTGTTACTCACTGGCGATCTAGTTTCAAACCACAGTGTCAAGTAAACAAAACTCCACATTTTCGACAACTTTTGCTTTTTTTATATAATCGAGAAGTCAACGCCGCCAAAGTAACTTGTGAGTTTTGAGACATGTATGAAGATGGTGCAATGACCCCAAAGTACCGCCCGACGTTGGTTTCGCGCTTCAAAAAAGGAAATTTTGAGCTGGAGGATGGGGTGCTCCCCTGTCGTCCAGTTGAGTTTGATGAGGAGCGTTTAAACCAGCGTCTTCACGAAAATCCATGTCAGACGAGCAAAGAATTGCCGGAACAGATGAACTACGATCCCAAATCTATGGTGACCACAACAAGAATCAGCGCACAACAATTGTAGCCAGCTTGCTGGCTCGGCATTGCTCAACATACGGTCATAAACAGCATTTCCTTTATCACATTGTCACTGGCGATGAAAAGTGGTGTCTTTACGTCAATATGAAGCAACGTAAAGAATGGCTCAGCCCCAATAAGCCAGCGACATCTCGAACGAAACAAGGCCTTCATACTCGGAAAACCATGTTGTGTGTACTGGTGGATCTGGGAAGGCATAATCCATTATGAATTGCTTGAGCGAAACGAAACAGTAAATACCAAAATTCAACAAAAAAGACTGAATCAGCGACAGTGTTCTTCTTCAACACGACAACTTCCGTCCTCACATCGCCAATATGACCAAAGCAGTTTTTCAAGAATTTGAATGGGAAGTGTTGCCTCATCCTCTGTATTCGCCAGACTTAGCACCATCAGATTTTCATCTTTTTTGATCTCTTTTCGATGCATTACGTGGTGTAACTTTCAATACTGATGCTAAATTGAGGGTTTAATTGAGCGAATTTTTCAGCTCAAAACCAGGAGATTTTTATCATCAAGGAATAGAAAAAATTTGTGACCGATGGAAAAAAAAACTTATCAGTAGCAACGGGCAGTATATTGTTGACTAAATTTACGTAATTTAACATTGTAAGATCATGACAATATACATTTTGAAAACGCTCAAGACTTATTCCCCAAGCCAATACTTCCAATGAACTCTACTTACGAAGTTGATCTTTTTTGATTTAAAGTTAACAATAACTAAGAAGAAAAGCATATTTTGAAATAAACAATACATATAAGATTGTTATAGTGGAACACACCTATTCTATAGTTAATAGACTTTCCCACATATAATAAGTAGGAGTAGTAATAGTAACGAGCAGTCGGCTCAGTGGGTCGGTCAGTCAGTCGATGCCGGACGACCGTTAGTCGGATACTAAAGTATCAGCGACCACAACTAGATTTCTCTGCGTCATTACCTATGATATCAAGTTCCTAACGTCTTGTACGTCGAACCTATTTTAGGACCGACTTAGTACAAATACAAGCCTCCACGGTGAAATTACTCCATAACAAAGATATTCATAATTAAAAATGAAAAATATTCAAAAATGATTGGTCAGTTCTTTCTTTTTGGTATCCCCGACCTCCTTGCCTTATAGTTCTTTCAGCTGTCATCCTCAATCTGGCACCACCTGGGACATCTGCGTAGCACATGATATTAAGTTTATATCTGCCGTTAATAAATCCTGGTTTGTTTGTTAGTTTTCCAAGAATCATCTCGCTGCATAGGTTAAATGTATTCGGTGAGAAAACACATCCTTGTCTCACTCCTTTTTCTATTTTGGTGTACTCAATTCATTCGTTGTCTATTCATACATCAGCCGATTCTTCCGTACACATTTTTCAGATTATTCATATATTCTTTCCAGGTATATCGAGTACAAATAATAATAATAATAAATGCCATATTGGCACATCAAACATGGCTTCTGATCTGAATTGATTGGAGGTGCTAACAAATACACGGTTTATGTTGGTGAATTATGATAGGCTACAGTTGTCAAAGCATAACTAGTTGGGCATGTCCCTCAGGGGCTGAAGTCTTATGCATCTCTGTTCACGGGCGGGTGTTCTGGGTGGGTAAGAACGTGACTGAGTGTCGAGAGAATTGTTGTTGGTTTTTCTTTTTTTTTTTTTTTTCTTGTTTAAAGTTTGAAGCAGCCAAGGTGACTTGCAATCAAATCTAGATTTCTTTAATTGGAAAGTATTTCTAACTTCTTCCCACCTGTGTGGTTCTCATCCAAATCTATCAACATACAATGCATATTTGGCTGTGATGGATGTACGTGATATACGCTTATCAGACTGTCTCATGATGGTTATAGTAGGCTTCGTATATTTATATCCTAGCGTCATTTTGTTGGTGTGTTGCTCTCTCACTCAATAATAATAATAATAATAATAACTAGTTTTAACCAGTGATCATTTCAGGGTTTTCCTATTTGAAATTTCTGATGAATCTTAACTCTTCAGTTAAGGATTGAATAAGCTCATGGCAAATTCTACGACAAAGAAATATCCGTAGAGATTCCCATATCACATCGTTAAATATTTGAGCTTAACAACTTTAACAAAATATTGCAATAACAATCATTAATATGAATGCCAGTCGTTATTTAAAGAAGTAAGGGGGTACAAATGTAAAGATCTGAAATTGACAACTTTCTTAATTCACTGAAACAGACGTTAAGCACTTCTATCTTCTCTTTTTTTTCTTTCATTTTCTGACTGAAACCAAGTAGCATCTTTGATATGGCATTTGTCTTTACATCCGATCAAAACGGAATTGGCGATTATTTATGTGATATTAGCAGTAGACGTTAAACACCTCTTTCTTTCTTTTTTGACTGAAATCAAGTAACGTTTCTGATAGACTTAATGCCTTTCCACGCGATCAAAACAGAATAGGCCATTATTTATGAGATGGTGGCAGGGCGAAACTAACAAAAGGATGGACAAATACATCTGTTATATAATAATAATAATAATAATAATAATAATAATAATAATAATAATTGGAGACAATTAAAGCGCGAAATGTTTTTTCCAAAGAGAAATTTGATAGAAAATACCGTTTTTTATTTCTTGGTTGAGTGACTTTGAGGGACGTGTTAAATACCCGGCGTGGATAAGCTGATTGATCTAATTGCGAAAACATTTGAACTTTTAGATACCACATATCTATGGTTATTGAAAAGTAAATTTATATGTTATAAATGTTTATAACAGTAAGTTTACATTTACACGCTTGTAAAACCCAATAAATGAACAACTATACATTTAAGAAATACAGTGTTTGAATATTTAAATATTAACATGACACTCACTGACAGGATTACATGTACCCTATAAATACATATATATATATATATATATATATATATATATATATATATATATATATATATATATATATATATATATAAGACGTTTAACAGAAAAATTGTTAATTGTTAAATTAAGCCTGAACCGTTGTGAGATGGGACAATTATCGCATGCTGTTAAACGATTTGGACAGTTTTGTTGTTACACCTGTATATATATATATATATATATATATATATATATATATATATATATATATATATATATATATAAAAAAACAAAATAATAGGAAAAATAATGGAAGACAAGACTCGAACGTGATTGCAAAACACGTTGTACAGTCACACGTTGAAAATTTTTCATCAGGAATGTCGACCATTTTTCTTTTCTCTTCTTCTTCTTCTTCTTCTTCTCATTATTATTATTGATAGTAACTTTCTTTTTTTTTTGCTAAAGTGGCCGCCCATTAATTTACTTTTACGCCCTTTGAATTTGGATTTAACGATAATTATTGCATATTCATTTTCTCTTTCATCTGAGCAAAAGCAAAATGCCGTCTTCCGCATCGGTCAATGGCACAGTGAACTTGAATTCGATAAACAGTGATTTTGATTGGCAGTTCCTCTGTGCACGTGACTGGCAGGAGTTGAAACTAAATGCTGACCGTGAAATTTGTTAGCTTCCAAGGCTGCCTAAAGAATCCCACAGACAGCTGAAAGGTCATAGCAAACAGTGGAATGCCTGAAACGAATAGATAGATAGATAGATAGATAGATAGATAGATAGATAGAGAGATCGGAACAGACTATCTATCTATCTATCATTTAACCTTAAATAAAAAATGTTAAATATATATCCAAATGACAAAAGCAAGATTCTTAGAATACATGTTATAGCGAATTTCGTACAAATAGTTTGTTTTTGTAAAAAAACAAAATAATATTTCGAAGGAAATAGTTCAAAAGAAATAAAATAAATTAATCTTAAATCTTAGATTTAATCTTCAATTAAATCTAAAGTTTTTCTAAGTGTAAAAGCAAAAACATTAATTGAATTTCTTAAGATGACTACAGCAATGAACTTCCAGAAACCCAAACAGAAACTAAAAAAGCGTCCTTCCCACAAGAACAATAGACTTTTGAAATAGGACTTCAGTTTTGGCACTTAGTTGCACCATTAGTAGGCCTATAGTATAGAAGGCCATACGTAAAAGTGCAAAAAGTTGACAAGTCTATCTATTTATTAAAGACATTTTTTTATGTTTAACGTTGTTATTTATAGATACAAGTATTTAAGCAAATGCTCAGTTTATGATAAACAGTATTAAATAACATTTACCACTGTGGCACCTTGCATTATTAGAAATATTCATAGAAATATGATTTAATTTTTTTTTTTTACTCGGTTTATTAAACAGGTTGTAGATTTTTTTTTAAACGGAAAATAATTGAGTTGAAAATAATTCACTAGAGTTGTACTTAGACGATCCTAAGGAAAGAAGAAGGAAGGGGAAAGAAAAGAGGAAGAAAGGGAAAAAAAAAAAGAGAGATGGATGATGCATGACCCGGTCATAAGCGAAGATAGGTGTCAGAAAGATATCTTGGCCTGCGTGTTGGCCGAATTTTAAAAAGACAATAGAGAATTGTTATTTGAAATGAAAAATCCTTTTAGAGGGAGAAAAGAACCAGGCTTGATGACAGTGTATTGAATTGATAAGAATATCGGTCAAAGCACCTAGCCTACTTTTTTATGTGGAAAGACTCATTGTCAAATTGGAGAAAGGGGAATTTCTTTTTAGAACAATAGAAACGAAATTTTTTTTTAATCGGAGAAAAAGTGTCTTTTTGGGTTGAGGGGAGTGACCGGTGGAACGGTATACAGATCCTGAGCTATTAAGAATTGGAAACCCACGATAATAAAGTGGGGACATTTTCAATGTAGATAATTAAGATTTTCTGACTGTCGGGTCTGACAAAAACAAGAGGTGAAAAAACGATTGTCTCAGCTCACAGATGGCGCCAATATTCTTTCCTGAAGTCACATCTAATTAGCGGCAGGCTGTTTTGACAGAGCCCAGGTGAGAAAAAGCCAAGATTGTCATTTTCGTACGTGCAAAAAGGGCAAAATTAGATTTTGTTTTTAAAACAAGAACGATGTAAGCCACGCCCGATTTGAGATGGGAGGCGCCCAACCACAATCTCATTAGCCGAAAGCGGTCACGTGATACGCGGAAAGAAGAGGAAGAATGCTCGATCATGAACCATTGGTCAAAAAACGGTCACCTGACATACGAGAAAAACCGAGAGATGGGTACGCCTCCCCACCAAAGGCACTGTGAGGAAGTAGGGGTGAAAACAATAGCGATAATGGGGAAACAGAATTAATGCGGCTATTGGAATTATCGAGAAACCCCTGACGCCAACAGACCCACCCCGGTTTGCTGCGGCGTCAATAAAAGCAGGACCCCAGTCGACAGAAATCAGTTGAGTTGGAGAGGAGTTGCAGCTGGACCGCGGGCAGGGATAGAGCCTGAACGCGGGCATCGGGCCCGATTCACTCGCCCCTTTGCGGGCAAGAGAATCCTCAGACAAGAAATCCTTCCAGCCCAAATCGAAGAAGAAGAAGATTGCTCGCAAGCCTCAGAGAAGTTGCAGCCAAGTCGAAGAAGAAGAAGATTGCTCGAAAGCCGCAGAGAAGTTACAGCCAAGTCGAAGATAAGAAGAATAGCTGCAGGCCAGACAGGCCGAAGAATTGCAGGCAGACAAGAAGAAGAATTGCAGGCCAGACAGGCAGCAAGAGTTGTGGCAGAGTTACGGCAGAGTTCAGCCCCGGACGGCAGAGTTCAGCCCCGGACGGCAGCGAGAAGAGATCACCTCGGACGACAGAGAGTAGCGGCTGAGTTGCGGCAAGAAATCCTTTCCACCCAAGTCGAAGACAAGAAATCCTTCCACCCAAGTCGAAACAAGAGAATCCTTCCACCCAAGTCGAAACAAGAGAATCCTTCCACCCAAGTCGAAGACAAGAGAACTTCCAGCCCAAGTAGACGAAGAAGAAGATTACTCGAAAGCCGCAGAGAAGATCCAGCCCAAGTCGAAGACAAGAGAAGTTCTATCTAAGTCGACGAAGAAGAAGAAATACAACTCAAGTCGAAGAGAAGAATCAACTGCGAATGATCGATAGAAATTAGCCCCAGTGTCGAACTAAACCACACTCCGACATACACAATTCTAAGGAGTAGGCAATCCGAAATCTTTAGGTTGTGTGATAGAAGCTTGGTGCCATAGTCCACAGAGCGGGTCGGGAAATAAGAACAATTTTTCTTTATGTAACGGACATTAGATATAAAAGGTTGTCACCCTTTTTTATCAGTAATTTTTTGTCTCGTGAGTTTTTTTTTTTTTTTTACTTGTGTTTTTGCCACCCCGTCGGACTCAACTTGTATCGGCCCCAATCCTGCTGGTCCCGTCTGTCTAAGATCTAAACACAACGTGGGTAGACAGACCGGAGATCAGTACAGTTGCTTCAGTAACCAGGTATTGGAAGCGAGTTGGGAAAGGCGAGGCTGGTGATCATCTAACCAAGGGGTTGGAGCGGCACGCTTGGAACCAGGAGGAGCGACCAGGAGGAGCGACGTCACAGTTGGCGCCGTAACCAAGGGATTCGACCCTGGGCCAGGTGTGTAACCGTCACACCGGCCTGAATGTCCGAGAAATTTTCATAGAAAATATTCGTTCTTTGACAGGATTCGAACCTGCATCCTATACGTTCTATAAATAACAACGTTAAACATAAAAAAATGTCTTTAATAAATAAATTGTCGGACCTTGTCCATTTCTTAACATAAGTCTATCTATCTAAACATCTTGGAACGAACACAATGATTACAACGTTTTTCCTGTTGCATTCCAAGAGGCTGTGGTATAGTTAGCGATTGCATATCCCACTAAAGGGGTTGTGACGACAGTGTCTCATTTTTAAAGATGATATCTCCTTGCCGTTGACAGTGACTTTCCTCTGCCAAGCAGATGTAAGATTTGAACCAAAATAAGTCTGTCCCTATATACACTATCATCTTTACTAACTGGTCGCATTCCAAAAGTGGGATGATCGTTTATTCCCAGGAATCATGAACCATGAAAATCAGGGACGTTCCACTCCGCAGGGGTATTTTCTGTGCCCGCATGAATTCGGAACTGCTATGCAATGTCTAATCATATATATATGGTAGTGAATGCTTGAAGAATTAGTCAAAAATGACAACAAAAGAAAAAAATGGTTTCAGAGAATAAAGACGTGATATTAACGATGGAGAAAATACGGACAGAACAAATAAAAACATTTTAAGTTGTATAGGAAATGTAAATAATAAACTTATTTTTTCGGGAAAAATATTGATAATGAAGGTTTGGAAAATCAACACTCACAGGGCGCAAAAAAGCAGAAGAAAGTAGCTGGCAACCTGCTTGAGAAGATTAAGCAAATGGATGAAGGAACAATTGTCACAATTTTTTAAAATATGATCATTTAACTCTCAGAAGGTGGATGAAAGGCAAGAAAATTAGGGGAAAACAGCAGATGACCTACTTACTAAATGAACAGAGCAATAAGTGCCACAATGTTTCGGTGCATATGAGAAAGGAAGGCTTAGGAAATGTAATATTCAGAGGACAAATCGAAAGCAAATTTCTCTATATTTCTGAGATGAGATGTGCACTATTTACATTATTCGGACTATTGTCATCATCTTTGTCGCCATATTTATTACAACGTTTTGGCCGTTGTACGCTCCGGCATTCTTAAGGTGGTTTGAATGTCGACTGAACTCTTTATTTCGCTCAGTGGGGTAGATTGTTCTAGTTCCACGTGCCATGTTATCTCCTGTTAATTCCGCTTTCCAAGTTCTCCACAGCCATAACCGGGTATTGAACTCATATTCTTTGGGTCCTAACTAACGCCTTCATCCACTGTGCCACAAAGTCGTTAGTTAGATCCAGTGACAGGGCACAAAAAGGTTAAGGCAGTGGATAACTTGCAGAGCGAAATTAACAAGAGATAACTGATAACTGAATAACATTAAATATGGCACGTGGAACTAGAAGAGTCTACCCCAGTGAGCGAAATAAAGGGTTCAGTTCGACATTCCATCCACCTAAAGAAGGCCGGGACGTACAAAGGCCGAAACGTTGCAATAAATATGACGACAAAGATGGGGACAATAGTCAGAATAATGTAAATAGTGTACGAAAGCAAATTAACAAGCAAATGTAATATTCGGAAAACAGATCGAAACCTAATTGACTAGTTTGAATAAACAGACAGAAGAACAAGAAACACAAAGATGGTTCTTAAAGAGGTAAGTATTACTAAAGACAATAAAATAGAGGAAGCTGTGGAGAGCCTTGATTGCCCATGTTCTGAAAGAGTATGGTACTGAAAAAAAAAGAGATATTCATAATCATTTTTTTTTAATTTTTTTATTTTAATATTTAATTATTTTGCACAAGGTTTTATCCAACACCACCCCTCCTCGACCTCCACCCACAAAAAAAGAAAAAAACAAACAATATTTTTTTTTATTTTGCGGGGACTCACAATTTCCTTGCTATGCCTATTTGATCACACACCAGGAGAGAAAAAAACGCCGGAGGATATTTTAAGCGGGTCGTAACAATATGACCATTCATAAGATATCTGAACTAATTCCTAACAAATTTATTACTTGCTTCTATATTTTATAAACATAAATATCAGTGTTTTGCAAGCGTGTTTTTTTTTTTTTTTTTTGAATTCGGATATTAAAAGGGAGGGGGTCAAGCTTGCTCATAATGAACCACATACTTGAGTTGGTTGAAAGCATGGAGGAATAAACATTAATCTGTAAGCTTTCTTCTGTTACCCACCATTAATTCTCTCAGCACTGAAGAACAATGTCTCACTCAAATCTTACGCCAATATTAGGATTTAATTTCTTAAATATTTGTACTCACCATAAATATCAAACTTGTTTCAATCCAGTCCGCGGTAAGTACCGTAATTTTTACTATATAGAGTATAAGGCATAGTTAATAAAAAGAAACAAAGAATTCCAGGAAAAGAAGCTTATTTTCATGTATAAAACGCACCTGATTTAGTGCAAATACCAAAACTTGTGAAAAAAGAAGATAAAAAATTAAAAAAAAAAAAAAGAACTAAGAAAGCAGGGTTTTTTTTTTAAAAAAAATATTGTGATTCGTAAGCGTTAAGATAATGCGCTATTTTGTATTTTTTATTATAAATTACTGTATATGCTGGAGAATAGTACAAGTTTTTTATCATTCGCTTTTTATGCAACAAAATGGAGGTCGCACTATACACAGGCATTTTTTAAAGAGTTTAAAATTTCTACATTTTCGGTGACCGGTTGCACTATACACGGATATTTTTTTTTCTGGACGGGGGTTAAAATTCATGCAAAAAAAAAAAAAAAACAATCAGTGGTTGCACTATACATTAAATCGACTTATACACGAGTGTATAAGGCAAATAATATTTTTACCTTTGAATGATTTCCAAAATCATCTAATCTAGACTCAACGTAATCCGAAAAAAAGTACGGAACAGCACAGTATTTAAATAAACATTATGAAAAAAATATTTCCTTTTCTTGCAATCCGCCATTATATAGCTATTATCTCTCCGGTAAACAAATAAATCCAGTTTGATCCGATGTTGTCCGTTTTGAGGCCTGGAAAATATAAGATCGAGCTTTAAATAAAAGTATAAGACGTAGCAGACTTTTGGACACGATTTTGTATGAAAAACACTGCGTCTTATACACACAGGATTAAAGTATCAGGTCATCCCATAAGTTCTGTCCGAATTTCAACTTTTTGTTAAAATGAACGAAATTTAAAGAGTATTTTATATTGTCTAATGGAGCTGAACGTTATTTTTATGTTTAGATGCATTTAAACTGGTCAAATCTTATTTCAGAGAACAATAAAATTAAATTTTGTTTGTTTAAAACCCTGCTAACATGGAAGTACCCAAGAATCATTTGAGGCACATAATGCTTTATGAGTTCAAGAAAGCAAACTCAGCAGCCGAAGCGGCTAGAAACATTCACTCAGTTTATGGAGAGGAATGTGTGAATGAAAGAACTTGCAAAATTCAGAGGTGGAGATTTCACCCTTGAAGATGAAGATCGAACCGGACGTCCAGTTGAGTTTGATGAAAAGCTTCTTGAAGCAGCCCTTGAAGAAAATCCTGCTTTATCAGTTGAGGAATTGGCAGTGGTTCTCAGTTCAAACCATACAACTGTTCATAGTCATCTTCAACAACTTGGAAAAGTTCCTAAACTTGGAAAATGGGTGCCTCATGAATTGTTTGAAAACAACCTCAAATCCCGAGTTGACATCTGCTCTTCTCTCCATTCTCGCCAACTTGTTTCACCTTTTTTTGGATAGACTTGTGACTGGAGACGAAAAATGGATCTTTTATCGAAATGTTAAGTGTCGTAGACAGTGGCTTGGTAAAGGGGAAGGACCCCAGCCACAGCCGAGAAGGGAACTTCATGGGCAAAAGGTTCTTCTTTCAATCTGGTGGGATCGCCAAGGAATAAACCACCTAATGCAACAATTAATGCTCAAATATACTGTCAGCAATTAGAGCATTTGAACCAAGCTTTGAGGAAAAAAAGACCTGCTCTAGTGAATCGAAAAGAGGTGATGTTTCATCAGGACAATGCGCGACCCCACACAGCAAGAATCACGTCACAAAAGATCGAAGAACTTGGTTGGGAGAAAATTCTTCATCCACCTTATTCTCCCGATATTGCTCCTTCAGACTACCATTTGTTTCGTAGCTTACAGAATAATTTGGAAGAAACAGATTTTGTAACACAGGAAGAGGTTAAAACTGACATTTGTGAGTTCTTCGAATCAAAGCCAAAAGAATTTTACAGTAATGGAACTAGTAAGCTTGTTAATAGATGGAAGGAAGTCATAGATAATCAGGGAAAATACATTGTTGATTGAATCTGTAATTGTAACATTTGGTCACTTGTTTTCTTTATTTAAAATTCGGACAGAACTTATGGGATGACCTGATAATTATAAATCTTTTAATCTTTTTTTAAAAATTTTAACTGCATTGAGAAAATTAATACGCCCTTTGACAGGTGTTGTTTTAACTCCTGCTGTGTTCTCACGAGTAAAGTTTGGTCGAGGAACCGGTTTAGTCACCGATTACCCGACCATGCGACAGGGAGTACTGCTTTACATTGTACCAGTAGCGCTCATACAATGCTTATGCTCCGTAGCTATGTGTGCAGTCAGTGCGGTAAATAGTTGGGTCATCGCTGGGAGAAGAGTCTTCTACGACTGAAAACAACGGTCAGAGCGAAGGGTTACCGGGATGGAATCAATAGCCAAGTATCCGTGACCAAGGCGATTTTTCAAGTTAGAGGTCATAGGCTGTGGTTCGGCCGTGGGAAGGATGGGTCTACTTGACCAAGACACGCTACGTACAAAAGAACACCTCTCCAGATTTCAAGAAAATGTGAAGGGAACTGGTCAAGTGCCCAGATACACAGTGCCCACTCCAGTGACTATTACCGGTCATGGGACTGATGATGATAAGGATGATGATAAAAATGTATCTATTTATGAAGATTGGTGATTCGTATGTATTTATAAGAATGTGAGATACGTATGTATTTTCGAGGATGTGCGGTTCGTATCCATTTATAAGGATGCGCGGCTGTTATGCACTTATACGGTTCTTATGCAATTTTAAGGATATGGGAATGCGTATGTGTTTCTATGGATATTCTGCAAGCACGTATTTATAAAGATGCATAGTTCTTAAGTATTTGTAAGGATGCACCGCATGTATGTGTTTCTTTTTTTTTGTATTTGTTCTTTTATTAATCATTTCACCACAAGCAAGGCAATAAAGCCACTAAGACGCAAATAGTAAGTGCGTGAGAAGAAGAATATTATTAAGAGAGAACAATAAAGGAAGAGCAATTAAAAAGACAGAAGATAACGATTGACATTGCATTTCAATTTTTGAAGATCAAAGTTGACTGGAGAGCATGGAGTCAGCGAGAATTTCTAGAAAAAAATGTTAGCATAGAACTTAAGATTACATCTAGATATTTCAACTCTTATATATATATATATATATATATATAGAGAGAGAGAGAGAGGGAGAGAGAGAGCGAGAGAGAGAGAGGTAAATGCATCTGTTTCAAGGAAAGTTGAATCACTCTATCGTGCCAGGAAATTTTTCTCGTCAGAATCCATCTTGTACATTTACAAATCTACCATGCATCCGTGCATGGAATACTACAGCTATATCTGGTCTAGTGCTCCTGCTGTACATCTCGAGATTCCTGGCAAAATTCAAAGTAGGATCTGTAATGTAAACGATCCTGATTTGGCATCTTGACTTCAGTCACTTCCTCACCGTCGTGACGTGGCTTCCGCTCTGTCTTTTCTAGAAATATTTTCATGGCACCTGCTCTGGTGGGTTAGTGCCCTGATTACATGAATTAAAGAGTGCTACTAGAGTAGCATCTAGGTCCCACCTATTTCTGACCGGTTTCTTTCATTAAGCTAGTGAATGCTGCCATAATACTTGCTTTCATGTCATTTTTGGTGTTACAAGGAATTTTGTTGGTCTCTTGCTCAACTGTGCCCCACACATAATAATTAAGTGGGGTTGCAGTCTGGGGAATTAGGAGGCCAGATGTTAGAGGTGATGTGGCTGCAGAAATTGTCTGACAGATATGTCTAGGTTGTCCTGCTTGTATGGTTTCCAGACATAGGGTCCTTGACACAAGGCAGCACTACCTCCTCAAGGCACTTGATGTAAGCCTTTGTGTCGAGTCTGAGGCCCTTAGCAACAAATTCGGGAGTTCTTTTCTTATCAGAATGATCAAAGTGAGTTTTCCGAGCTGCTACACTTTCATAATCACCATTAGACACATCTAACTCTTTCCAAATCCTTTGCACTTTCCTCAGATTGACACCCAAACACTCTGAAATGTTCGTATTGGAACTTCAGGCGTAAATACCAAGCAGTACAGCATGTCGTTTCCAAATTTCTGGCGGAGTGAATTCCGTCATAGTGCTTGTTTTTTGGGGTTTTTTTATTCACAGACAGTGCCAACTGACCTTACTATACTGTACAGTCGACAACAAACAACACGCATGCGCAAAATTAAAAATATAAAATGGCGAATATTTTGGTTGAAAATCTTGTTTCTCCGGTGTCAGCGGTTACGGTGAGGAACTTGAGCGTCATTTAGCGGTGCAAAGCACACTGATTTGGAAATTCTTGCAAAAATCAGATAATTGTTCGATTTTAATGAAGCTTTCAGAAATTATGCGCAAATGAATTAAATTATTTTTGAAATGTGTCATTTTTCGAAAATCTAAGTAATTTTTTTACATCCGTTACCACATACTTACTTTATTTTATGAAGTTTCGAGAAATTCTTTGTTGTAGCGCTTGATGGTTTTATATTGGCTATAAGCGCAAGTACTTTTAATTGCTTTTATGGATAAAATATATTATGGACACTATTGTCTTGAGAAAAATAATATTTTTGCGTTTTTATTAAGAATAAAAATAATTCCAATCAATTTAAATTCGGTTTTAAATACAGCAACTATTTTGCTTATTGAAAATATTAAAT